TGTACATGAACTTCAGCTTATTCACGATTTTCACAGAAATCAGATTGACCACAACTATTGAAAAGAGGCATCAGAACACCTCAGTATTAGCAGTCAAAACCAGGCTAGGAATTGACTGTGGAACAGACAATCAATTGTTATTCTTGTTGTTATGTGCCGTAGAGTCACCGGTGAGTTATAGAAATTCTATGTGCAACAGCTCTGAACCCTGCCCTGTCCTAAGCAAGCTTCATGAACTTCGACACACCTAATGTGACTGCCCAGTTATCGTGTCAGTCCATCTCACCCAGGGTCTTCCTCTCCTGCATGTCCCTCCACCATTCCAAGCATGAGGTCCTTTTCCAAGAAATGGTACCTCAGGTCAAACGTCCAAAGTATTACTCATATGCAAATTCAAGTTGAAGGTGAAGATAATGAAAACAAATTCACAAGAACCAAAATATGACCTGGAGTGTACCCCAACTGTACTAAAAAATCATATTAAGAATAGATTTAATGCACTGAATGCTAATGACCAAAATCAGAGAAGCTGTGGAACAGAATTAAGGAATCCATGAAGAAAGCAGTGTCATTACAACACAGGGCAGGGGAAAACCCCAACTATCTATCCATCAAACAGCAGGAGAGCCTCAGAAATTTTCACTGGAATGAAAAGAAGTCAAACGAGGTAAAGGAATGCTGAGGTTAGAGCTGGACTAAAGATTTCGAAGGGCAGTTTGAGAAGACAAGTAATATTACAATGGAATGTGCAAGGAGCTGGAGAGGGAAAAGCAGAAGGAATGAACCGGTCTGACATTTCACGAGTTCAAAGAATTGAAGGACAAACCCCAGCCTCACGCTGCAATATTGAAGGAATCTATGGGCAAAATCACGAATGATGCACGAAGCCTCGAAGAAGCGGAATGAATGCTATTCCAGAAAGAACTGGTCAGCACTGAAACGTTTGAGGAAGTAGCATATGATCCAGAAGCAGCAGTGCTGAAGGAAGAAGTCCAAACTTCACGCACGGCGCTGTCCAAATAGAAGA